TTGTTGTTCCGCCACGCCTTGCAGACCAACCACCAAATTGTCCAAATCGAATTGTGGATAAAACACCTAATTGTCAAATAGGGAAACCAAGTAGACTTTGATTTTGCCTCTACCTGGTTGAAAACATGTCCCGCCTGGAGGTGCGGGGGAGGTACAAGATGCCCTGAATCTCCTACTGCATATTTACTATTAAAATACACTAAGTAATTTACCACGCACGTTACATGAATCAGTTATACGTTTGATGTGTTAGTCAAATAGCAAACAAACAATTCGGTTACACACGGCAGGGGAACAATGAAAAAATCAACGTCGTGAATCGTTATTTTTTTCTGGAATCCGTTCTTTGCTGAACTTGATAGCTAGTACGTGGTTTAGGATTCTCTGAACTGCTGCAGCGAAAAATGCTACCTCGCCAGTGTTTATACAAGGTTTCTGGAAAAGACTATATTCATCAATACGGGTTATTTGTAGTATTTAAAGTGGCACGTCGGTAAACCTTCAAAATTAGGCTTGGGGTTAGACGAACTATCATCGATCAAGTTTTCAGGTAGCTCTAATATGTTTCTTCTGAATAGGTGCCACCAAATTACAATGATTAAACTTTGGCCTAATTATACGGGGAATAGAGAGACTGCTGCAATCTGCAATGCGCTTACACTTTGGTAAGATTGAACCACTATCATGGATATCAGCCCGTCAGACTGATGATTGAGTTGATTGGATTAGGAGTAACATCAAGTGGACTTCAGAATTGAACAGTGTGACACTCGATGATGCGAAGAAGTTCTATCTCTGAAGGTCTGATGAACTTGTCCATTAGCGGTACGACAAATGCAAGAATAGGGCAACCTTTAACAGTCAAACCTGTGGCAAATGCTTTGTCGTGAACTTCGGAGTCAATTTCATAGAAGTGAAATCTCAAATCGCAATGGCCACAAGAACTCGGACATTGTGCTGTTGTTTTCATACACGGATGCAGCTATCTCTTCCCATAATCCTCGAAAATTGGCCAGAACCCATGCGTTTCAACCAGATACAAACAGTTCTCCTCACGCGGAACTGACCGCTGCATCCGACTGTGTGGATAACTCATTGGCTAACTCATCACTCAGGAGGGAACCCGGTTGAAAATATCTGAGATGCCGGGTTCGTTTGTGCGACAGAGTATCTCATACCGTACGAGGATTGTTCTTCAGTAGTAGTAGAGGTATTTAGATGGTCAGGCAATTCGGAGATTTCTGTCGATGTACTACTACTTCAAATGGAAATAGCTGTTGAAGTGGACAGACATCTGTTTACGAATTATCAAAGGGTTATTCAGTTATAAAGAAAATCATTGGAAACAAGTCAAATGGAAATAAACTGGACAACGCTAGCTGTCAGTAGTAAGGGACGTTTCAGAATTCCAAAGGTATGTAAACCGAATTCAAATAAAACGGAACAAACTGAACATCTGGAATTTTTTCCGCTTGGTCTGAGATGTGCATGAATATACACGAATGTGGACTAAAATGAGAGGGTGAAGGCTCACACTGATTCCATCTACCTTCAATCCACCGCCCCATCCCCCCGCCTCCCCAAAAAAAGAGAGAAATCATGTGAGTTGAAAAATACTTTTATCCATCACCCACTCCATGGAGATTCACAATCGTAAGAGCGAGATCGCGACGGGATGCACCAATATTGCGCACGTGAAAAAACGGTTTCGAGGATGAAACATGAATGAACGACGTTTAAGTATCGGTCGCTGGGTTAGGTGCATCCTCTCTCGTGCTATGCACAAAATCTCGGTGCTATAACGAGGCTAGTTAAGCTCACTGTGCA